AACTCCGACGAAACAGTTTGCCACAGCCCCTAGTTCTGTCTCTTATACTCATTAAGATGTGTATAAGAGACAGGGGTGTATGGTGGTCCTAAGTTTTTTATTTTGCAGGGTGTCAACTGGCAGCCGACCGGTACGTGCCAACGTGGTGGGTCGCTGATTAGTCAAGGGGTCCTGACCGTCAATACTCTGCATTGTCCCTTTTTTTTCTCATTGTGATGGGGTGCATTCTGGCGTCCTGCAGGTGGTTGGTCTTATATCTCTTCGTCGAGCACCATTTGGCACAGAGACTTGCAATCAAAGGGGTGGTTTGGCTCTCTGGTAGTTGAGGGTGCCAGTTGTGTCCTAGTGGGCACAAAAGCCCTTGCAATCTAGGGGGTGCGTTGGCTTCTTCCTTGCCTGAGTCTTTTAACTCCCTTTCTTTCTAGAGTGTTTGGACTCTGGAATTAATTTACAAGAACCTCTTCAAGCTCAGGTAAGAAAAGCAGGAGAAAAAGCCACTAAAACCTCTGAGGCTCAGGTCCTGAGGCCAAGAGATGGTTCACGGATGGCCCAAATTTTTGGGGGGTTGCCGCATCACCACAAGCAATGTTGTTGAAGATTTTGCGAACAAACAATGCAGGCTCGTAATACAAACATTTGAAAAAAAGTTAGAAAACAGGTTAAGAAAAAGGCTCAGAAGCACGATAGAATCCTGTTTGGAGTAGCTTTTGGAGTTCACAAGATTTTTCTCCGAATTGTTCGTTGCTGGTCCAAATACATCGAAACGGAATACAGATATACCCGGGCCTTAAGCACATACGTATTCAAACCCCCTCTCTTCCCCCCCCCCCCCCAAAAAAAAAGGAAAAATTCAGAGAAATATGGCAGTTTCGGTGAAAAATTTGCCGAAAATAACACCACCAATAAACCATTATTGGTACTGAAGCCCTCTCCTATACGTATGCGAACAATCCTATCTTAGGCTCAGATGGTTGTGTGCTCAAAACTCTCCTCTCCGCACTGCTCAGGCATGTCTTTTGCGGTTGAAAAACCATGTTTCTAGTAGCCAGGTGTGTACTCCCTCCGTGGTTTGCAGAAAAGTAACGAGGCACAAACAAACCACCTTTCAGAACTGAGCTCGTTCCATGGATAACACCTGTCGCTTGAGAACTGAGCTCGTTCCATGGATAACAGCTGCCGCTTGAGAACTGAGCTCGTTCCATGGCTTGAGTTATTGGCAGCTTGGTATACATTTGAAAAGTTAAGAGCAACGAACTGTATATGCGATATTTATGGACAGTTTGCATTTCGGAAATCACTGTGAGACAGTCTATTCGGTGACTTGTCCCGACTTCATTTGCAAACCGATGTGGTCTTACCATGAAGACGGGGGTGGCTGCTCCTGACCCCATCTGGTGAAAACCGGTACCCAAAGTCCGAGTTCAGTGCAGGCACATACATGGAGAGAGAGAGAGAGAGAGAGAGAGAGAGAGAGAGAGAGAGAGAATTATATCACTTTCCGTTGATTTCACGTGTACCCGATTACAGAGGGGAATTATGCAAACTCACCGTTGTGCCCGTTTCAGTTGTCTTTGATTTCACGTGTACCCGATTACAGAAGGGAATTATGCAAACTCACCGGTGTGCCCGTTTCACTTGTCTTTGCTTTTGTTCTAACTGTTTCCTTCCGGTAACTAAATTCTTTGCCGTCCGATCTCACCCTGCGTAATGGAAATTGGATGGTAGCAGTCTTGTTTGTTTTTCGGTTCCTCTGACCTGCGGAGTGCCAACAGGTAATGAGGGTTTCTGGATGCCCCATTTGGCTTTGTCCTCAGGAGACCCATGCTGGCATGGCTGCCTGGAAACACAACATGGTCATGCAGAGGACAAGGAGAGGAGTGCGAAAGGAATGAACAACAAAATTTCATACAAAGCAGCAAAACAGACGTCCAATTGAACAGTTGTCCCTATGTCACAGAATGGATGAAAGAGAACTATGAGCAGAAAAGCGGGTCTGGTCTTGGGTGCCTGTCACGATGTCCAAGATGCAAGAGGACAAATGCCTCAGCTTATTGTGGTGTAAACATTGCATTACTTGCCATTTGATGAGCGAACACCGCACAAAGAGCCGTCAAGAAGAGCCGTCACCTCATTAGCTTTCGTCATTTTAAAGAGTTGCTTTTCGTCATTTCGTCATTACAAGATACAAGAGGACAAATGCCTCAGCTTATTGTGTTGGCACATGAGGAATGGAACATATTGAAGCAGTTGGGTTTTGCTTGGAAATCCCCAGGCGGGCCAGGCCACCTTGTCGGATATGTCATTTTACTGTGGACAGTTAAGAGCCTAAGCTTCACCAGCCTGTGTGCTCGGCGAAGGTGGATTCTGAGAGGGTTAATTTGGGGATTTGGAAAGGCGAGTGTGCGGGTTTCGTTCCTGGGGATCTGTGGACATGCCAAGCCACGGTAGAGGAACCCCCCATGAGATACAACCTGCAATCCAGTTCATCGATGTGGGAAGCCCGTAGGGTGGGGTGTTAGTGTCCTGTCTTGTGTTGGAGGGTTCTGTTAAATATCATTTGAGTGATGTGTGGAAGAGTACTCTGTGTCTGTGGGAAGCATGGTCAATAATGCGTGAAGGGTGGGCAGAAGACTTACAGGAAGTTTGGTGATTCCTGTTCTCTGTTGGCGTGTGTATTTTTTTATTGTGCTCTGTTGCACGTGACATACGAACAATGTGCAAAGCAGATTGCTGTGCGAAAGAGGGTGAGGTGGGACATCACGACATATGGCGACCTCGCGTATAACATCTATGGCAAGCTCGCTCAGCAGGTGACAGATACCATGATTGTTGTCACGCAAGCGGGCTTCTGTGTTGCTTACCTGATCTTCATTGGTGAGAACATGCTGACTCTTTTGCCTCATCTACCCAGCAAGAGGACATTCATGTATATTGTTACTCCCTTTTTAATGATGCTCTCATGGGTGCGGTCACTCACTGCTCTGGCACCTTTCAGTATCGTTGCCGATATGTGCAACCTTGTTGCACTGGCGATTGTTTTCAGAGATGATTGGGAAACAGTCGGATCGCCAGACGGCGCAAGGCCTTTTGCTGGCCTGTCTCAGTTAGCCCCAGTGTTTGGGGTGGCTGTTTACTGCTTCGAGGGATTCCCGATGACTTTACCTTTGGAAGCGTCCATGAAGAATCGCGACGATTTCCCGTGGGTTTTGGGCTCGTCCATGGCATTTGTAGCGTGTCTCTATGCCGTCTTTGGGATGGCAGGCTACATGGCATATGGAGAGGCAACAAGGGACATCATTACACTGAATTTGCCTGCAGGTCCATCGACTGCTCTTGTGAAACTAGGACTCTGCGTTACACTGTTCTTCACATTCCCAGTGATGATGTTCCCCGTGCATGGGATCATCGAGAGTGAGGTGGTGTTCTGCAGGTGGTTCCAGAATCATGTTCAGCCATCGCCACGGCTGCGCACTTTAGTGCTGAACTTTTTCAGAGCCATTCTTGTTATGGCTGTGCTCATGGTTGCCGCCGCTGTCCCAGGGTTTGGGGTATTTATTCAGCTGGTTGGAAGCAGTGTGTGCTCTCTTCTGGGATTTGTCATGCCCGCTGCCTTCTACATGCAAGTCGCGTGGGATGACATGAGCCGCTTCAGCATTCTCATGCACAGCCTGATTATTGTCTTTGGCATTCTCTTTGGTGTATGGGGTACTTGGGATGCTCTGTCAGATATTAAGGGTGGTGTCCCCGCCGGCAACTGACGCTCGTCGCCATGAAGATGGAACAAGGAAGTGAAGCTATCCCAGGTTCCTCCCTTTCATCCTAACTAACGCGGGTAACCGCAACTGCTGCGTTTGCTTTGCTGACAAATGCCCCTGACAATTTTTTTACACCTGTAACGGAATCTGACCACGTGTACCATGAAGTTATCGGACTAGGCTCCAGGTTTGGGGGTAGTAGGTGCGCGTCAAATTCCAAGCATGCGACCGTCTGGTATCTCTGGAGGGATGTTGCTACCAGTGGTCGTACTTTCTTTCACAGGCTCAGGGACGTTTCACGTGTACAACATTCTCTTCTGTGCCCTGCTGTGCCTCGATTCAGGTGTAGTGCGTTCTTAATGGATTACTAGGGTTGTTTGCAGCTTTGCATTGAAAACCTGCAGGGCGTGGTCCATGTAGTGGCAACGCTACATCAGCTGCCCATCCATTTCTGCCCCACTTTCTATTGGTTTGTCCCGTTCTGCTAGGCGTAGTATGCTCTAAAGAAGTGGGTGTTTAGTAGCCGGTGCTGAAGACCTGTGAAGTGTGCTTGCAATGGAAGCACAGCTAAATCTCGACCGCTCATCTTTTCCTGTCCCATCTGTGGTCCTGGTCTGTCCTGTCCCGCATGGTCTCCAGTGTGTGTTGCCTTTGGTCTTTCGGAGTATGTAATAGGAGAAACACACTTTTTCTATCCGTTTGTTTGATTTGATATCATCGTCTCAAAGCTTCGGGTTTCATTCGAATGGAGTTTTGTGGCAAATAGCGTCGCCACTGTCAGCTTCTTTCCGGCGCTGTTGTTGGACAGTATGTAATACCTCCTATCGAGCGAATGGGTTGGGTTCTTTACGTGCATGCCACTTGTGGTGAAGATGAACAGTTGACAGGTCGTTTGGTGGCTGCTGCGGTGTGTTGTCAGCCCTCCAGAAAGGGTGAACGCGATGAAAGGACAGGAGTGTGGCATGGTAGGCAGACCTTTAGGCTTTTCAGGAAAAGAATAATTTGCAGAGACAAAGTGGGCTGTACAGTTGCTCTGCCGGTATTTTGTGTATTCTTGTTTTCGAGTCTTCTTACATTCATTAATCGCTTGGTGTTAAGCTCACAGTTCTATAATCTAGAGTCTCAAGCATTTTATCCGTCACACATATCGACTGGGGCTCTGCGTGCAGTGAGCGGCAGTCTGCATCTGCCAGAAAGCAAACTGCACTGCCGTTTGTTCCGCAAAACTAGAGAGCTTGTTGCCTCTTCCGTCAACTCCACAGCTGTACACGCCCAGCAACTCTCATGGTTCATCTTCAGAATCTACACAGTCAGCTGGAGGCCGGAAATGCACAGCTTTTCGAGGTAATGTATATGGGGAATGGGGAACACAAACCAGCAGGCTTCAGTCGACCGTACCGGATTCAACAAAGCGACCAGAGCTGGGACAGCGGGGGGAGGGGAGGGGGGGG